AATATTCTCGAAATCTCCTCAAAAAGGATTTTATCAAGTGTGAAAGACTTACTGAGAGGAACTGCTACTGTCAGCTGAACTGTCCATTTGGTACCTGGAATCCTCCATCCAACATGTGTAGTATCGCACAATATTGCAGTGCTGGAGGTCTGATAGTGTTGCCACCTCTCGCAGAGCTTTTCTGATCCAATGAAGAACAAGAACATGGCTCAGTTCATAAAACTGAAAACTTATTTTGTACTGCATCTGGCATCTGGCAAAAATTCTTCCCAAATAAAAAGCCAACACAACGCTTATAAAAAAAAAAGACTTACTCTTTGCAGCGGACGATCTTTACAGCACAGTACTTGTCCAGCAGTTTTTCCTTTGCCTTGAAAACATAACCAAAGGCTCCTTTGCCGAGATGCTCTATGGCATCAAAGTCTGATGTAAATCTAAGATAAACACAATTTATGTTGAAGCAAAAAAGTTAAAACTATAACAAATGAGCAACACACAAACTATAAAGCTACAAAAATACTGAAAACATTTGCATACCTTGACATTACTGACTGCGCTGCTGTTTTCTTACATTGACTGTTCCCTGGAATCTTGCCATGGAAATTAGTTATAGCCTTGACGCATGAGATAAAGTCAAAATATAGAGATTAAAAATTTAAGCAAAAAACCTCAAAATAAACTGACATTATCAGCATCTTGTTACTTACCTCCATGCTCTTTCTCTGCACATTTTGGAAATTTGCTGCAAGTCTACGATATCAAAATATAATGACAGGGCAGTGAGGTCAGTGGCGGATTGAGGACTAATAAAGGGGCCATAAAGGGGCCCCTGAATTAGAAAATATTTCCTTGTTCAAACACATCCTGTACTTGGCTTAGAAATAAGTGTTCTTAACAAATTGTCATATTTATTGTTAGTTGTTGGTAAGTGACTTCCACATTTAAAAAAGGGGTACTGAAAGGACAAGGCCACATCTGGGGCAAGAACCTCTCTGACCCTCCCCAGGATCCACCCCTAATTAGCGTTCAATTAAAGTTTGTATTGCAGCTTTGCAGTGGACAGCTTACCTTATTTTGGGCTTGACATCAGGACTTTGAGCCTTTGTAATGGGAAATAAAAAACTATTATCAGTTTTACAGGTACCTGTTTAACTCTTATGGATTTCTGATGGTAATCTATTAATCACTTTCTGACATTGGAATAGTCGAGGCTGGTTAAAGGGATCGTTCACCGAGAAAAATAAAATTCACTCGTTATCTACTCACCACTATCATTAAAACTTCCTATTCGACTCGAAACAAGGTCATTTAAGCCTAAAAGTCCACTGGAAGTGTCTAAGCTAATAGATGTAGCCCCATGATGGTGTGCCCAAAGGTCCGTGACCACCGTTTTCAGTCGAATATGAATGTCGGGGCTTGCGGACACTTGAATGACAACACATGAGCAATATGGAGGCCTGTTAAGTTTTTTATGTTGTTTTATTACATCTGAAGTGTAGGTCACCATTAACTTCAATTGTATTGAAATCTGCTGCAACAAAGTCTACCCCTGAGAATCCAGAAGTGTTTTGTGGACTCAAACACTTCACCATCGGCACAGTGGTGAATAGATAATGAATGAATCTTCTACGGTGAACAATCCCTTTAAGTAAAACTGATTTCGACTTGAACAGTGAATTAAACCACCTTACGATACCACCTAACTTCTGCATAAGCGTGTGTGTTACAAACTTGAGGATGAGAGGATTACACAGGAAATAACAGACCTGATTTTTGGGAGGTTTTGGTGAAATGGTGAAAACACCTGAGTCACTTGTAGCTATCTGCTTGCTTTTTGACTGTACATCACTGCTTGGGGAGAACATTAAAACACATCATTACGATAATCTCAACTTTAAACATCGCCATCTGTTGTACTCTAGTTCAGAGCCTTACGGTGAGTTTGATAGTGTGGGCAGACTGGCTGACGAACTTTCACCGGACACAGTTACCTGAGAGGACAAAGGAAGAAGTGTTCAGCTGTTACACAGTACACATTAGTGTGAAAATTAATGTATTGCTGCTTTCAGTCGTGCACTGAAGTCTGCACATTTTCCTGAAATTTTCCAGAGGGGCTGTATGTGAGAACGCAAACATCTAAGTCAGATGTTCCAGACATTTTTTTGAATTTTTCCTGCCAGACCTCTAATAAAACGTCCAATATAGAAGCAAAATGTCAGCGAGTGGGCAGGTTGATGACGTTCGGAACATATATCTGAAGTATGAGGAAGTATGAACATCAATTTGAATGACAAATGATGCGTTACATTTTGAAACATGAAAATCTATTATAGTAGGAGGTGGTTCCAAAACTTTTTAAAACCACAGTGTCCATTCATGATAATTATTTTTCAGGATCAGTTCAGGTTCTGTGAGTGTTTCCTAACTTTATATACTTGCTCTGTTTGTGTCATACACCATTGTCGCTTTGCCATGAGTTTTTCGTCAGTGACTTTGATATTGATTGTTTATTTCGTCTGAAATGTTTAAAAACCTAAGATTAAAATGTTGTGAATGTAAATGTTGAAAAAAAAATTCTGTGGTGAAACATTATGAACAAGAATTACTTAACATCCATGTCATTCCAGACTCATACTGTGCGTAGTGAAGAATCTGTATGAATTTAATTATAGTGAGTGTATTCATTTTGTTTGACCAAAATCTAATCCTTAACTGGTATCCCCAGGTTAACTTTACTATCAGCAACCTTATTCTCAATCTTTATTCTTATATTACTTTATTGTCAAAATATTTTTTCTTCATATGACCCTAATACTCATTGTTTAAGCACATCACATTAATAAGTAAGTTAACAGGGTCAAGCATAAAATGAGCACATGCAAATAAAAACCATAATCTATCATATTCCACACGAATGAATGAATGAAAACCTTGTTGTCATAGTCGGTCTGCTCTTGAAGATCAGCCCAGGCCAGCTGAGCTGCATTTTGTTTGGCTTCTTTCACAGTCTTCCCCTCACCCACAGGGTAGTCCTTATTGTTGATCACCAACTTGTAGAAGAATCTGTGCAGGCAGGGAGGAAATGTTTAGAATGTTGTGTTAAGTTTTCATTCAGTGTGTGTATTCATGTTACAGAGGTTCAGTCGTACTCACTGGGGGTTGTGTGCTTGACCGCATCTTTTCTCTAAGACGTAATCGTGCGAGCGCTTTGTTTTCTGACAGTACTGGTTGAGTATGCCAATGTAATTTCCACCTTCTGTCTTTAGACTGAGGCTGTTTGTCCTATCACTGCAATACCAAGACAAATCGGATCACTAATTAGAAAACGTCTCAGAACAGAAGCAGAATGAAACAAAACAATTTGCTCTCACCAGATTTCTATCACATCTTGTTTGGCTTCCTCTTTTTGCTGGCTTGAAGTGCCACCATATTTCTCATCTGCGGTCTTGAAAATAAAAAGTGTGATTTCAATTATGATTCAATGAATGGAGCCTGGCCAACATTTAAAAAACCTTGAACACTTACAACTTTTCATTAAGGTCTTTCTCACATCATGTCTGCGTATTTCCTATGTTTACAATAAAATCAGTCATCCAATAAAAATCTTCACTCTCAATTGTATTGGCTTTGAAAGTCTGAAGTAGGAGATAAAATGGAATCCAGCACTGAGGATGATGACCTTCTCACTTCTTTAAAACAGAAAATGAAAACATTGTGTCCAATCCTGAGAAGCTGAATTTCATCTTCTGATCAAGAAGCTGTGAAATTATCACAATCACTTCCAAGTCTACTTCTGGATGTCAGTGGTCCAGTTTGACGACTATAGAAACGGAGGCTGTATATATTAAAAGGGAAAAAGCATAATCCATGATCCAATTGAACCCGGCCAGCGGCAAGGACACACACTAGGCCTTTATCATAGCAACAGAGTACAAACCAGAGACAGGGAAATCTCTGTGAAATAAGTTCTCAAACAACTGTCTTTAATGAAGGAGGAATCTGCGTAAACATTTATTTTTAAACTATTGCAATTTTGGAGTAAAGATTTACATTTATGACCAGGCATTTCAATCCACTCTGCACTTTACGAAGCATTGTCATTGGGCCTTGTATAATCAGTTCTTACCTCAATAACTTTACTTCCACATATCTCATGATATACAAGCTTTGCTGCTTCCTCCTTGGCTTCCTTCCTTGTTTTACCATAGCCAGCTGGAAACTTCTTATCACCAACCTCAAAGCTACAGCAACTAGCATATCACAAACATTTTATTTAATACATTCAGAAATATTGACTGATCAAAGAATGAATATTGGTGGAACCTTACTTAGAAGCATTGATTGGTCCCAGTCTGGTTGACTCCACAGGCCGTATGAACACCTTGTTCTTGTTACCGTATTCATTGAGCCAACAGACATAACTGTTGTTACTGATGATCGTCTGATGAATCGGTGCAGTGGAAGCTTCTGCTGTATTTTCTGTCTGCTGAGAAAGCTACAAAGCATATTCATGGACATGTGCAATGCATATACTGTATATAAACAGGAGTAATGTGTCTCCACTTCCTCCCACTATCCAGAAATGAAGCCAAAATGTCCTGTACATAAACACTGTCATCTTGTATCAATGACCTAATTTGAAAGCAGTCTGTGCAGAAGGGAACAGGAATTGAGGTCCCGCCGAAACATCTTTTTCCACCAGTCACAAATCAGTCTCAGCTGTCAATCATGATCATCACCCCATTTCTATAGCATCGAAAAACTAGTTAAAGCCAAACTTACTAGAAAAATTAACGCTAGAGCCTACATCAGTGTAATAAGAAGCTTATATCCTTGAAAGTCTTGAAAGGTGGCCACCAATTATAAACATTATATAAGC